TATTTGTCCAGCTACTGGGAATTCTAACTAAATTTGTCACCCTACTGGAAATTCAACTATATTTGTCCCCCTACTGGAAATTCAACCTATATTTGTCCCCCTACTGGAAATTCAACCTATATTTGTCCACCTACTGGAAATTCTAACTATATTTATCCCCCTACCAGAAATTTAAACTATATTTGTCCCCCTACTGGAAATTCTAACTATATATTTGTCTCCCTGCTGGAAATTCTAACTATATATTTGTCCACCTACTGGGAATTCTAACTATATATTTGTCTCCCTACTGGAAATTCAACCTATATTTGTCCCCCTACTGGGAATTCTAACTATATTTGTCCACCTACTGGAAATTCAACTTATATTTGTCCACCTACAGGAAATTCTAACTATATTTATCCCCCTACCGGAACTTTAAACTATATTTGTCCCCTCGTGGAAATTCTAACTATATATTTGTCTCCCTACTGGAAATTCTAACTATATATTTGTCCACCTACTGGGAATTCTAACTAAATTTGTCCCCCTACTGGAAATTCAACCTATATTTGTCCACCTACTGGAAATTCTAACTATATTTGTCTCCCTACTGGAAATTCTAACTACATTTGTCCATGCCTACACGAAATTTAAACTATATTTGTCCCCGTACTGGAAATTCAACCTATATTTGTCCCCCTACTGGAAATTCAACCTATATTTGTCCCCCTACTGGGAATTCTAACTAAATTTTTTAAATATTTTTGATATTTTTATACCTTGGCAAACATTGTCTTTTTCCCCATTTTGATCTGGAACAAACTCTTATTTTATTGTTGGTTATTCCTATCAAACTATTATCTTATTGTTTAATATTACTACAAAACTGTTATCTTATTGTTCGATATTCCTATCAAACTGTTATCTTATTGTTCGATATTCCTATCAAATGGTTATCTTATTGTTCGATATTCCTATCAAACTGTTATCTTATTGTATAATATTACTACAAAACTGCTATCTTATTGTTCGATATTTCTATTAAACTGTTATCCTATTGTTCGATATTCCTATAAAACTGTTATCTTATTGTTCGATATTCCAATAAAATTGTTATCCTTTTGTTCGATTTTCCTATCAAATGGTTATTTTATTGTTTGATATTCCTATGAAACGGTTATCTTATTGTTCGATATTCTTAACAAACTGCTATCTTATTGTTCTATATTCCTATTAAACGTTTTCATATTGTCCGATATTCCTATCAAACTTTTATCTTATTGTTCTATATTTCTATCAAAACGTGATCTAATTGTTCGATAATTCTATCAAACTGTTATCTAATTGTTCGATATTTCTATTAAACTTTTAACTTAATGTTCTATATTTTTATCAAACTGTGATCTTATTGTTTGATATTTCTATTAAACTGTCATCTTATTGTTTAATATTCCTATCAAACTGTGATATTATTAAGTTCGATATTTCTATTAAACTATTATCTTGTTGTTCGATATTTCTATTAAGCTGTGATCTTATTGTTCTATATTTTTATTGAACTGTCATCTTATTGTTTAATATTCCAATCAAACTATGATCTTATTGTTCGATATTTCTATTAAACTGTTATCTTATTGTTCGATATTTCTATTAAACTGTGATCTTATTGTTCTATATTTCTATTAAACTGTCATCTTATTGTTCGATATTTCTATTAAACTGTTATCTTATTGTTTAAAACTATTTTAATAATTGATTTGTTTAGTACATCTGTACCCCGTCACGAGCCAAGCGGATAATTATGTACTGCTGGATGTTTGCTATAGTGTACTGCTTATCAAACTGTTATCTTATTGTTTAATAATCCTATCAAACTGTTATCCTATTGTTTAATAATCCTATCAAACTGTTATCCTATTGTTTAATAATCCTAAACTCTTATATTATTGTCCTATCAAACTCTTATATTATTGTCCTATCAAACTCTTATATTATTGTCCTATCAAACTGTTTAATTCACGTCCTACGCTTCGTTTAAAGGGACTGTAAGGGAAATTTCCACTGCCCCTCCATACAAATATGGCACTGTGCGATTTCAACGATTATAACCTTAAAAGCTTTGTCTGATCAAGTATAAATTAAATATGCATTGATCATTTAACTGTTTATATTCATTTGTGGTTTCTCTGCAAAAGTGACTTGCGCAATTTTGCTTGTAAGAAACAATGGAGAAATTCACAGAAGCAAACACTGTTTGAGTCAGGAAACGACGATATCTTCCACATTTTTGATAATATTAAAGTTTATAGGGATGGAAATCGGCATTGTATCTTTCCGTTAAGTGTCAGTTAAAGATATGCTTACAGTCCCTTTAAGCTACTGCTAAGAGCCCTCTATTATCTAACTATATATCTATATAAGTCAATAATAAGCTCCAACTTTAACTGTTTGCCATCACTGACCTTCTTGCATACTATTATTTCTTGTTTCTTATACACTGTACAGAGAACGGGGAGTCCCAAAAATCTTGGAATATTAAAGAATTTTTAGATAAAATAATAGATATTTCAAAAACTTTTTAAAATGCTAAGTTACTTGTGTGAAAAATTAGATGTAAATGTAATCAACATTTTTTTAAAAGTATTTTTTGTACACCATTTTGAATTGATTCATACTCTTTATGTGAAATAAGCCCATTAACGTCCATAGTCATTGTTTACAAAAAGATGTACACTGTACAAAGTACAGTATGTTAAAAAATAGTTGTTAATAAATATTATTGGTTTAGTTATGTTATTACTAAAATCTATAAGGATATAAAGTAGTAATCTATGTTTGTTTGTCTGTCTGATCATAACTCGTGAAACCATTGGACCCATTTAACTCAAATTTTGATAGGGAACTCGGTAGACCCACGGGAATGTTCTTGGCTTGGGTTAAAAAGTCTAAACTAAGAGGTTTTGAATTTAAATTTTAAAGAGAAAGTTAGGTTTACAGGCAAAGCTGGGTTCCCAAGCTAGTAGTAGATATTTCATGCACTAAATAAAATGCTTTAAAATTTATTCACACTCTTAATGTGAAAGAAGCCTTCACAATAATATTAACTCACATAGTTTCGTTTACAAATGTGTACTGTTTACTGTTTACTGTGCACTGTGTACTGTGTACTGTGTAGTCTTTAGCAGAACAAATTCGAGAAATTCTAATCAATCAATCAATCATTTTCTAGAAATTCTGGGGATCAATTCTCTAGAAATAAAAAAGGCATCTTATACTTTTGGAGAACCACCTGCATTAAGTGTTTTAGCAAGAAAATCCCTTATCAAACATATTTTTTTGGGAAAGTCTACAAAATTAATTCTCAGTTCAAAATATGAAATTTTGATTTCTAACAACATTTGATGTTTGTTTATGCCTGCAATATCAAGGAAAAGGAAGGATATTTGATTGACCACGATGAAAACTTTTCTGTCGGACAACTTTATAATTTACTAGATATAACTATCAATAAACTATAATTTACTAGATATAACTATCAATAAACTATCATTAAACTATCAGTTCCCGGCGTTGCCCAGGTTACTCATAAATACTCACGCCGTTTACCCGCACTTGGTCTTATATCAGGATTTTAGCATAATTTTAGTAGTAACACCGGGATACCCTACCCATGGGTTCCCTCAAATTATTTCAGCCGTTTAGCTTTAGCTAACATAAATATATGAGCGAAGAGCTTTATTAATTATGTAGATAAATAAAAATAAATAGGCAAGGTTTTGAATAAAATTTACTATCTCTCCTTGACATTTTTTTCATTTTTTTTCCAAATTCGACAACTTTAATGGAACTGTAAGCATGACTCCCCATGCAAAGATGACAATGCCTGATTCACAATGGTGCACTTTAAAGCTTTGTCTGCTAAAGTATGAATTAGATATTGATGTTTATAATTCAATTAGAGTTTCTCTACAAAAGTGAGTTTCGCATTTCTACGCCTGGATAACATATTGTAACTAAAATACACTTCCAAACCTAGAGAAACGAGACACAGTGTTAATCCAATAAAGGTTTAAATAAAACTGTTGAGAATCGGGCATCGCTATCTGTGCATGGAGGGTCACCTGAAATTACGCTTACAGTCCCTTTGAAGACGATTGGGCCTTTTTCTCTTGACTAGAGTTTCGAATTTTTTTTCGGATTTGGCCTTACAAAACCTTGTTTTGAAGCGGTCAAGAATGTTACCCCATTAAAAACATTTTAAAATTATGGGCGGGTCTTTTCTGAACTGAATTAAGAATACATCTACCTCCTAGATGGCACACAGAGATAGATAGGTGTAAAACACTGACAAAGTTTACGAGACGATTATTCCACATGATATTGATCTGGAATAATCGTCCGGTAAACTTTTTTAGATTTATTCTTAGTTCGTCTATCATGCCAACAGCTTTAGAAAAGGTTCAGTAAGGACTTTACGGATCCAAATTGATTCGAAAAAAGGGATCTTTACTCTCGACCCTTGTACAGAACTTTACTTAAAAACATAATTGTTCTTTCCCTTTAATGTTTTCCCCAGGTTGGTATAAAATTGTTCTCAGTTACAACTGAAGACGACTTTTAATCCTTGATTTTCCGACCGTTCATTTCCAACACTACAAAGATCGACCAGATGACGTCTCCGACATAAAGCGACCTAATTATCGTCGCCCAAAGTATGTCATTAGGACGTTCCTTGTTCATACAAGGAACGGCCTCAGCTGATAATAAATAAATTTAAAAAATACAACATAGAACTTCGTCAAACCTTGTGCATTTATTAAGTTCAATAGTGGCGGTACATCGAAAATTCGTCATGAACGAAATTTTTAAGTTTGAAAAAATAAATAAAAACTGTACAAGACAATGCATGCAATGAGGTGAAATTAAAGGGACTCTTGACGAAATTTCAATCAGTCCCTTTAAGTGCAAGTTTAATAAACTGAAGAGTGCAGTGTGAGAAGGCCGTGACGAGTCCTTACTTCGAAATTTCTCCACATTGAATCCAACAGTAGGCACTGCAGGGATAGACAAGTCACAAATCAGAAAGGAAAAATCTTTTTGTTAATAAGAAAGGTTAAAAATTAAACCAGAATTTGAGCTGCGTCACTGAACTATCTACTTCCGGTTCAAATTTAAACCACCGATTTAAAGTTAAAGATTAAGGAAGGATTTGAATCGGTGATTCAAATTTGAACCGGCAATAGACAGTTCAAATTCATTAAATTCGGCCCAGGTAGCTATAAATTTCTTTTCAGTGACATGAATCTGTTTTCATTGTTTTTTTTTCATGAAGTGTAAAATAAATGCGAACCAAAAGTTTTCTAGATGAAACTCAAATATTTGGCGATAAACCAGTCAGAATTACAAGTTTTAGTTTTAATTGTTTAACAGCAGCAACTTTTTTAAAAGGTTTAATTCGTTGCAAAACTGGAGAAAATAAATTAAGGTTAGGGTAAAAGTATTGAAAAGGAAGAAACAAATTGCCTTTTATTAAATCCAATTTTTCAGTTTTCCCACCAGCAGAGCATAAAAAATAATTTCCCCCTCTCCTATCCTTCCCATTGTGAAGTTTTAGATAATTCATGAAGAATTATGGTTTTAGTAAAGTTAGGACCCAGAAAACTGTGGAATAGGAAGACGACAGCGAAACGCAAATTTTGATTTCCATAAATCGATGAAAACACAGCACTTGTACAGTGTTCACACTTCACGGACCCATTTCACTTGATAAGTTTATTTTCAAGATCCTGGTATAGCTATTTGCTTTGTAACAACTTTATCAAATACACACAAGATGATATTTAAAATGTCGTCTGCCTATTTTACAGTTGTATGAATTCCACAGTACGATCAATGTTAGGTTGAATATGTCTATTTTCCTATATTTTGGTTTTGTTGCTCCTCAGGTTTAAAATGATTGAGTAGAGTGGATTTCCCACTGTTGTCCAGACCAATCACTGATCCAACCATTTACATGTCTGAACTTTACTCTTTAAAGGGACTGTATGCGTCATGTTAGGTGACCCTCCAGGCATAGATGGCAATGCCCGATTCACACAGGGTACTTTAAAACTATTATACGATCAAAAATGTGGAAGATTTTACTGGTTTTCTTGGCTTAAAGTTATTAATTATGATAATTCTTTTTTTTTTCTAGCAGTAGAAACTCTTGAGTCTGTTTTTAAAACTACAAAACATTGATTTCTTCAATATTCATCAGACACAGATGTAATGACACAGCTGTGAAGTGTACATTTTGCCATCATTGCATGGAGGGTCACTTGAAATCACGATTTCTGTCCCTTTAAGCGACTGTAACTTCAAGTGACTGACCCTAAAATTTAATTCAAAACGTTATCCTTAAAACCATTGTTTGAACAAAAATTACGGATTTTTCTTAAACTTGATTTAATGAAATTGTGGTTCTTTAAAAAGTGCATGACTTGAGAATTTCTGCAACAAGAGAGATTGCAGGAAATTGCCAGAATCCATTACGACGATGACAAAAACACAACGGTATCACTGTTCATTGTTCAGATGAAATTCTCTTTATCTTAGAAGTTATTTGACAACAGACCAGGCCGATAGCTTTCTGTTAACTCACTTAACCGGACTGTTAGCGTAGTTTTAAATTAACCTCCATGAAAAAATGGGGCAATGCCCGGTTTATAACAGTACCCTTAAAAGCTTTGTCTGATTAAGTATGAATTAGATATTTATGTTTTTTGTTTCTTCAAATTGTTTATTTTATTTGCGGTTTCTCTGCGGAGATGACTTGCGCATTTCTTGCTTGTAAGAAGCAATGGAGGAATAAACACTTTTCGAGTCAGAAAACGATTGTTTCTTCCACATTTTTGATCAATTTAGGGGTTCAAGGGAAGTGCTGTAAATATTGCTATCTTTGCATGGAAGGTCACTTGAAATTATGTTTAAAGTCGTTTTGATGTAAAAAATAAAAATCTTATTTGGAATTGAAAAAATGGCTCCCTAGCACGTTGCATTCTTTTTTCTTCAGCCCGAGCGCCGAGGCCAGACGGTCAAAAAACCCCATTCTTGTAATCTGAAATTAAAACCAAGATCAAAGGAAGACAGATTATGTACAGTTGAAACTTTAATCTCCGCCTCTTATAATCTTTACAATTCTTAATTTTTGAAGTTTTTTTATGAAAGCTTTGTGTGTTTTTAATAGCTTCCAATTCCATATTAGTAAATTTAAAAAGTTAAAATAGGTAAATATCACAATTGCAATTTATATGTCATAATCATAGCTTTGAAATTATTAGATTAAAGTGTGTTGTATTTATGTCTGAGTATAAACTATGAATGTAAAATATTGAGCTTTAACCTTAAACGTTCAAAAACATTTTTACATTTTATGAATAACACTTGTCGGTGTATGCATGCCCACTGTGTAACATAGGAGTATTAAACTATAAGTAAGCCCAGAGTACCGCACCGTCGGTAACATATAGTACACAGTACACAGTTAAATCACAATGGTAAAGCTGGGGGGGGGGGGGAAATGCAGTCTCCGTCACCAGTTCCTATACAATCAATGTTGGTATATTTTTTAATTTATAAATAATAAATTTTGCTTAAAGGGGCCTAAAAAAAGATCTGAGATCTTTCAAACTGCAATACGAGGAAATTCTATTAAAAATTGATTTCATTTGTTGTTACAAACTTGTTTTAAAAATCCAAAAATTTTCCTAACAGTTTAAGCTTCAGCTATAATTGATTAAATGATTGTTCTGATCCTTAATTGATGTGTAATGTGTATTAATTGATTGATCTCACTATATTAATTGATCAAAATGATGAACTGAATATCAATTGATTGGTATTCCTGATTAATTGATTGATTTGACTATTGATTGATTTGTATTCCTGATTAATTGATTGATTTGACAAATGATTGATTTGTATTCCTGATAAATTGATTGATTTGGCTATTGACTAGTTGAACAGGGTTTCTGTTGCTTTCTGCAGATCCCAGGCACAAGAAGAGAGAGCTACCAGGGCTGCAGTCTCCTCTACTCCCATATCCTAGATCACGTGACAAAGTAAAGATAACGTGACAGTATTTCTAGATAACGTGACATTAATTCTATATCACGTGGTATTTATTCTATATCATGTAATATTTATTGGTCTCTAGCTATAAAAGCCAGGCAACTTTTTATAAAATTGGCGCAAATTTTATAAAATTATTAAGGACCAAAACCTGACTTAAATTTGAAAAGTAAGTAACCCTATGGTTGTACTAAGTACAGGTTATTTAAAATCAACTTATTTTATTAGTACAGTAAATCAAAGACATTTTTTAACAGTAGGATTAAGAAAAATGTCTCTCTGTACAAATCTAAATTTCAAGAAAACTAACCTTGAGCTGTCGTAGCATATTATCAAAGGTTGCATTCTAAAATAATCAATCAATCAATCAATCAATCAATTAAATATATCTTTGTATTTGATAAATCACAATTCTTATTTTGAATTTTTGGCAAATAAAATTTTTAAAAGGGGATGGTGGAGTTGGCACATTTGATGTAGGGGGGGGGGGCCCTGCCTTAATTTTTGGTTCAAATCTTCCAATTTTTTGGGTGCACGCCTAATTAGTGATCGAAATTCATAAAATAAAATCAAATTGAATTTTAATGACCTCTAATGACCTCTAATGACCTCTAATGACCTCCACATTCAGGATGAAAG